TCTTCATGCAAATTATTGAAGTAGAAGAATATGAATTAGGAAATCTACATGTAGAAATTTGAAATTATGGGCTGGTAGTACTATAATCCCAAAACAGAAAGGGACAAAACACAATCGACCAATTGTCAATTTTTGTGCTGTTTTGGCAGTATCTAATTGGACTGAAAATGGACATCGCAACAAGGAATGGAACCATTACCAATGAGAAATACATTTCAAAGCATGATAACATGAAGAAAAAATATTATCTTCAACGATTAGACCAAACTTCTTGGGAAAGCGATTTCGTCTGCCGATAAACATATTAATAACTACGTACAAGTAAGCAAACGTTAAACCCCCAAGCAATATTCAAACTTCTTCATTTCATAGCTAAAATTATCATGGGTTGAGATGTCATCAGCATCACCATAATCAAATTAAAGATAAAACTTTGCAAGTATTAGCTTATACCCAGATTCCAGAACATGATCCAATCATAGATCACGTCTATGGAAACAACCAGTGGAATTTCACATAAAAATATCAAGAAAAAGACAGAAGGACAAAGGATAGAAGGGTCAAAGTAAACTCTCGACAGAACCTAATTCACACCAGTAACGTGGAGGGGGACTAAGTAATTATACAAGAAATTAGTAGTTAGTGCTTCTGTGAGATCACTGCATTACTTCAAGTTTGGAGTAGGTTTCTTCTTTTTCTTGCTTTGTTTTGCCAAAAGCAGTGAGAACTTCGCAAATCCGAACTTCTTCCTCTTTCCAGAAAATTGTTTCTGAACATTCTCAACCTTGTGGGAAGAGGTAAAATCACCATTTTGTTTACTGAGCATCTGGCCCAATGAGACCTTTTGCTTCATCATGGTACCCTTTTCCGCCATCATCTCTGTCTCAAATTCTTCTGGAAGAAGCAGCTTACGGCTCAGTATTTGCCCTATTGATAGGGTTGGCTTCAAAACAGGTGTTGGTCCTTCATTAACCAGATTCAGTCCATTGACATCAAGGACACGGGGATCTTTCCTGTGATGAGATGGGTAAGGATTCTTGAACTTGGTAGAGTTCTGTACTGAGCGTCTCTTCTGACCATGCTCAGATCTCCATTTGCGAAGAGCCTCTTCAACTGCCAGCTTGCCTTGGTTTGCAGCCTCTACTCGGTTCAGTGCTTCTTCTAAGGCCTTCTTACTAGTTTTAACTTCTTCTGTAGCTTCCTCCACCTTTAGGATTTCCATCTTGGAAACATTTGCTTCATCAACTTGATGCATAGCTTCAATCACCTTCTTCTTAGAGAGGTCCTCAGCCTCTCGAGCCTTGCTTGTTAAAGAAGAGTACTCTTCAAATGAAAGAGTCACCCCTTGAGGTTTCTTCTGAGGAAATCCAGTTGAGCTCTCTGTGCTTTGAAGAGCCTTGATCTCAGCAAGAGCCACTGCTTCAGCTGCTCTAGCCGCTTCCTTCATTTTTCTGGCTGCAACCAACCTCATCTCAGCTGTTTTTATCTTACTCTTTGTCTGTTCAATCTCAGAAATTGCTCTTGAAACTTCTGACCTTGCCACTTCTCCCATCTTTTTGAATTGCTCAGCCTCAGAACTCAGCCGTTGAAGCTCTTTTGAAATTTCTATAGGATTATCAGAACTGCCCTTCTTTTCAGCATCTTTTGCTACTTGCATCTTCAGTTTGGTTTGGTTTAGCTCTTCTTCAAGAGATGATATCTTTGAGGAATTTTGAGTTAACCTCTCACGGGTCTTCTCAAGAGAAAGTCTTTCCTTCTCCAATTTCTTGTTTAACAAATCAACAGAAGCTCGAATGTCAGTAAGATCGTTCGTTGTCCTGGAAAGATTGAACTTAGCCTGCTTCAGTTCCATTAAGATTAGACCTGGAGCTGGGAAGGTGCTCAAACCACCCACAGAATTCGCATGACAACCTTCCAGGTTTGCCCCTTCTTTCACCACAGATGTCTCATTCTTGTCTTGTATCTTTACCTCATGAGCCGAACTGACTTCGGATGTTTCCTTATGCAGCTTTAGTTTTAGTTCTTCTACCATGCTTTTGGTTGATTCAAGCTCTTTTAAAACATCAAGTGTTTCCCTTTCCTTGACAATAAGATCTTTCTCCACCTCTGCTGCTTGCTGCTCTAATTTTTCAATATTGACTTCCACCATTTCATGCTGCTAATACCACAAGATCGTCAGCACCTAATTAATCCAGTAACAAGTAGCAAAGATAGAATGCCTAGGCACATGCACCATAATAGAAATTAATCAATGAGCATTCATATTTCATTCAATTGATAAGATAGGTAAAATGCCAGATACGAGTCCTTATAACACTACTTTCCAAAGATAAATTTTACTAAACAGTTCGCTCTACCATGCTTCTGGACCAGGGGCATAGAAAGGAACATAAGGAAGACTGGAATAACCTAGAGAACAATGGATAACTTTATTAAGTGTGACATGAAAAGCAATAACATTACAGGAAACTAAGTGTCGGGAATGTAGAATGCTTGGCAGCACCAGAACCTCTGAAGCTCATATTTGACTGCTTTTACATGCAAAAGCATCAAAACATATTTCATTTGCAGCAGAATGCAAACAGGCAACGCCTCAAAATAATGATAAATGAACTTAAACCCTCTAAGTATAAGACAATAATCTCATAATAAACCACTTTATAGAGGGATATATGTTAGTATTAATAAAAGAAAACTCAAAATTTCAGCTTAAAATCCGATCAAATTTTCAACTCCAGTTCTTTGGCAGCAAACTTTAGAAAAACCTAAATTTCCTTAGTAGTTTTGCTGAAAAAAATCCAAAAATTTCTGACTCACATGGGTTTCTCCATTCTAAAGTCTTTTAAATTGGCAATTTCAAACAAATTGAACAAGAATATCAAAACACTTCAGCCTTTAAACACGAAAAGCAGGTATATGAAACAAAAATTAAGCAAACACAGAAACAAGCCCGCTTTTTGTAGAAAGTAACCACAACCTCGGCTAAGATATAAAAAAAAAAAACCACAACCTCGGCTTCGAACTTTTGTTGCGAGGGTTTCCAGTAACCCAGTCCACCAAATCTACTAACGGCCTCCTTCACCGACTCGAATGGTGCCGAGGTATCAACCTCGACTCTCGAAGGGGTGCTCTCCTTCATCACCTCTTCAGCACTCACCGGACTTACTTTCGTGCTCGAATCGAGCTCCATTCTAGTACCCAGTTCAAGGGTTTCAGCAAAGACAAAAGCAGAGACAAAATCACGGGAACCTCAAATATCACGATGATGAAGTTTGGAGTTTTTCCCGAGAAACAAACAGACCACAGTGGGAGAGGGAAATAAAAGCGAGCATGACAGGGGAACTGTACTTTCTGGTTTGCTTTGTTGGATTGTCAGAAATGTCCCTGAAATTGTGGAAAATTTTCCGAAGTTAAATGCAGTAGATGAGGAAAAGTGGTGATGACGTGTTACCCTTGGAGGAAAAAAATTCATAGATCGGGAGGTTTTAGGACAGATGAGTCAAATCAAAGAATGGTGGGCCCCATGTCCGGTTTGAGTTTCAACGGCTAATGAAGTCTAACGGGCTTTGCCCGGTTTCTCCGCAAATCTGAAAATAGAATATGTGTTTTTGTTGGAGCTGGAGCAGAAACTGCAGAATAGCTCAATTATGTGTTTCTCTTTGTACAGTTTTAAATTCCAATGCAATTCTATTGTTATCACCACTTTTTTTTTTTTTTGTTAAAATTATCTAAAATTTATTTAATTTAATTAATGCATTATTTATTTATTTAAATAATTAATTATAATATCAGCAAGTATTAGTTTATAAGTTAATTTTAATTTATTAAATAATAAATAGTAATTATTATATTAATTTATTAATTATTTTTAACATTAAATTAAACAGAATTGGGTGACTTTTATCAAATTGTGGGTGGCCTTAATCATCTGTTAATCTAGATAATAAAATCATGAATTCTTACAATCTAAATTCTAACCTAACTTAAAAAGATGTTAGTTATATTTTTTTTAATCTTGAATTATATGATGAGAGTGAGTCTTTTTTTTTTTATTTTTTAAATTATTTTATTTAGATGTCATATAATTTTAATTTAAAATCTCTTATCTTTTATATGAAAGAAATTATTATTAAACTATTAAAATTATTACCATGTTAGTTATGGTTGAACATAACATTTTTGACATAAATGAGGGTCCCTCTCTTTTATTTTTTCCTCATGAATGTAAGTGAGATGTCATTTTCAATTTAGATTTATATATGATATTAATCAACAAAGTAGATAATGAAATTACCCTTTTATTTAATGAGTTGCAGGGTCAATTTGGTCCTTTACTAGTATTCACTTATCCCAATTCATCATGCAAGTGTTAACAGATAACCCCACTATAATGAGGTCTTTGATTAAGATTTGCATCAAATTCAAAAGCAAATTAATAATAGCATTCACTTTAGACTTTTGTTTCTTTAATATCGGCTGATAATTTGCATTGATCTCAGGGGAAAAAGAGAACGCTCCTTACAAGCCCTTCACTGGCTCGATTATAAACAACAAAGAGGGGAGAAAGGGCTAAAAGTGAAAGAGAGCCTCTGAGTGGGCTTCACCTAACTTTCACTTTTACATATATTTCCTTTGCTAAAGAAAGAAGAGAAAGAGCATCATTACTTCACCCGTTGGTTGAAAGACAAGATAATGAGAAGGATGATTTCAATGCTCATAGGGAGCTGCCCGTTGAAGGTGAAGCTACCAAGTTATTTGAATTTGAACCAACTTTACTTGCATTTCCAATGATGTGTATTATGTAGATGCTTGTTTCTTAATTTATTTCATTTCCATTCATCGCCATTCATAATGCTTGCTTGTTTATTAATTGTGATGAAGCGATAATAAATTCTAAAAAATTTACGATAAAACTTTCAAATTTACCTAAAAATCACTAAAAATAAAGTTTATGGATAGAAAAAGTTGGAAAAAGTGTTTTTCAGTATAATTTTTTTTTTGTATAATTTAAGTATTGAAGTTATCAAAACAATTTTAATAAAAAAATATGAAGGACAATTTTGTTAAGAATATTTTAGTAATTTTAGAATTCAGATAACGTAAAAAAAAAAAATACAATTCGTATCTAAAAACATCATCTTTTTTTTTTTATCTTGATTGCACAATAAAAAGCAGTTATTTTTCATCCCTTATCCTATCTCACCCTACATGTTATGCAAATCAAACTCATGATTTTTATTTTTAACGAAAAAAGATGATCATTAAACTATTTAAGTAGTCTACGTACCTAAAAACATCTTTTAGAAAAAAAGTTTATGCAGTTGGAAAAACATAAATGTTATCCAGAGATATCCCAACCACGATTTGAACCGTTAATCATTAATTGTATCAAAGAGAGACTGTTCAGGGAAAAATATGTACTGAAGAGAGAAATGCTTAGGGGCCCTAATGGCAACCAGACCGGTAAACGGTGAAAGTGAAACCACAAAGTAATTGCTCGCTTCAATTAATCTGAAAGGCCCAGTTTTGGTTTTATTGATCAGACTGATAAATGAATTCGAACTTAATTTTGTTTTTGGGCCCTAAGAAAAATTGCAGCTCCGATTACAATGAAGCTTTTGTTTTGGGCCGCAGCCCGCAGGTCAGGATAAAGTTTCCTACTCTTTTTTTTTTTTTCTGAGTAAGTTTCTTTTTCCCTTATTTGCTAGTTGCTGCACGTGGACATATAAAATTTCATAATTTTATGTGACGGTTAATCGTTCACAACAACTTCTAAAAATTTATTACTGGCAGCTAATTAGAAAACGAAATTATATTAAACATATAATGAGCAAGTGCTTAGACATCCAAGTCCAATCATCTTGGCTCTACATTTCACAAACTCCATGAATTTCCACCAGCCAAGGTTCCTTCTCAAGGATTCAATTGAAAAAGCGATTTGAATCTATGTGAAATAATAATAATAATAATAATAATAATAATAATAATAATAATAATAATAATAAAAATAATATCACACTCTTCATTATTATATTATTTTATCATCATCATTAAACATTAAAAATCCTATAAAATGTATATTTAATTAAAATTCTATGTGTGCATTATTGTAATACATATGGGATTTCACGCAATTTCAAATTAATCAATTTTGAAGTTATAATGTGTTTTATTCATATATCTTCTATATTATTAAAAAAAAATTAACCTCTTAAAGTGGGATCTCCTCCTCTGATCGTAAGACATTTGTCTCACATTGACTATATGTGCATTATAATGGTATATATGAAATTTCACATAACTCAAAACTAATTGATTTTTAAAGTTGTGGTATGTTCTATACCTATTCCTTTTATATTGTTCAAAAATTTAAACAATCACATCAAATAAACAATTAATAAATCTATTGAATTGGCTTGAGTAATAAAGAGTTATGCAATTTATATTAAAAAAGTATGAATAATTCTCCCTATATTTATTTATTTATTTATTTTTTGATTTCCCGTTCGGTATCCGAGGCTTTGCCCCGACTACTCCGGACTCGATCAGCTGTGGCGTACCAGAATGGTGGGTGGGTCTCCCAACGAAAGCTGCTGCACACACAAGGTTTCAAACTCGAGATCTTGCTTAAATTAGAATAAGCCGCTTGCCACTTGTCACTTGATCCAACCCCTCGTTGGTACCCCTATATTTACTTGGATGAGAATAATTCTCTTTTTTATTATTTGGATGTAAATTATTTTAATAAACACATATACAATCATTGGTTAGAAATTTATTGAATATTTTAAGAGATTAATTGAGTTAAAAGTTTAAATATCTATGTCAATAAAATAAAAAATTAATAAATTTATCAACTGAATTTTTTTTTTTAACTGTCAACTGATTTTATATACTTCCCTCTGTTTTTTTTTTCAGTTGTCTTTGGATTTGCATACTTACAGAGACAATTTAGCAGAAAAACAAATGTGTAATGACTGTTGTTTGAAATATCATATTTCTCCCTAGTAAAAGTTTTCTTCCTTTCAATATTTTAGAATAGTAGGGGTAACTAAATTTGAAAAAAAAAAAGAAGAAAAAGAAGGGCATTTTATTATATAGAAAATACGATCAACCAAATAAAAATGTTCTAATTTAGAGGGTGGGATAACCAAATAAAAATGGGAGTATATTTTAAGATAAAAGATGAGAATAGGCTCTTTCTTATTTTTTAATAGTAAATTATGCAATTTTATTAGGATGTATAGATTGAATTATAAAATATGAATATGATAAAAACAGTTCTTAATATCAAAAGCTTTTTTCATTAAATGGTTAGTATTTTATAATTTAAAATAGTTTAAATAATAAAATATTTTTTTAATTTCGTTAATAGATAAGAAAATAAAGATTATAATAAGGTATAATCCATAATTAAGAGACCCAATTCAGGTCAAAGAACTATACCTATAGCAGTGGCAAAACCAAACATAAATTAAGGGGAGGGCATTCTTTTTCCTGCTTTAAACTTGTGTCTTTTTTCCCATTGCAAATATACTTAATGTAAGGCCTTCAACCATTTTTCTCTTTAAAATCTTGACATCGGTCTCTCTATATTTTAATTTTTCAAAAGCAACCGCAAGGCATGTGCGTAACCATAGCTCAACATGGTTTCGCCATAGACCTATAGTATTTGATAAACCGCCAACAACACTCGTAAACTAATCAAATATATAAGATAATGATCCATACATCTTATATAATTACACATTTCTTTATTCACGGGTGAAAACTATCACTGATGAAAGTCATTAATGTATAACAAAAGTTGTTAGTTTTAACAACACAATTAACAAAAACTATTAATTTTAACAACACAAATAACGAAAATCATTAACTTTAACAATATAAGTAACGAAAATTATTAATGTGTAATTTTACAAGATATACTAATAATTTTTCAATCGAATAATGAACAATAAACCACCCAGGACTAGTGATTTCATGATCAATCACTACAAGAACAATAATAGGGATACCAAGGTATAAAGACCACCAATTATGCATCACTAACTTATTAAAAATAGTCTCAAATGTTATGCAATCTGGGGTTATTAGTTTAGAACGAGCAGCGGCCTCGACGCTGAGAACAGTTTGTTAATTAGAAGGAACTGCCAGATCGAACGATTAGAACTTAAAGAGTTAATGAGTACGTGAAGGTAAGATTAGTGCCTTGAAGCAGTAGTCATGTAGCATGCAAGAGCAGCCGAATGTAAAATATTACTGCAAAATATTGTAAATTGAATTGACATAATTAAACGCGTGATTTCTTTTTGTTTGGCTTTTCTTTTTCTTTTTTTTTTTAAAAATTGCCAACTACCCCAATAATCTCCAAACAAATAGAGGCGAAGATGGAGTATGCATTAAATTTATTACCACTATATTAAGGATTGAGACTTGGCATGCAAGCACCATGCTTTACATATAATCAATTAAATTAAACCATACTTTCACCATCGATTTAAGAGGCCTAATTAGTAATTATCTCATTTCAATAAAAATAAAAAATTTTGATTTTTTATTTTGATTTTAACTTGCATGATATGTATATATAAAAGAGTTAAAGATAAAAATTAAATTTTATTTTGTAACTCTAAATAAATAAAAAAATTACTGCTACTACTACCATGCTTGCATATGTTTATAGTCCAATACACTTGCAAACTGATAACGAACTTGTACTCTTTATAATTTTCAAAAACATATTTGAAACCAATTAAGGAGATATTTGTACAAAATCCCTTATGACCCACTTCGAATTTTTTTGAAGTCTTGTGTAATTTTTTTTTTTCAAAAACAATGATCATGTAAAACTACATAGGATGCCCCCTTTATTTTTATTTTTAATTTGATAGAAAAGAACTAATTTATTAAGGAGAGAACAATTAAGGACATCAGATATCATTCAATACCTTGTGACGTTGTCCTTTTTTTCATATCAATATCAGACTAAGACAGTTATATATTCTATCAAGAAGACGGTTATTATTATTATTTTTTTATAAGGATAATGGTCAGTAAATTAATATTGTTAGATGTTAGCAACTGGAGATTTGATTCTCAGACCGGATGAATAGTTCACCGACCTCAATGAGGCACGCGGCTATCAGGTCGCTTGGTGGAGTTCAGAAGACGGTCATTTTAATCCTTAAGTCCACCATAATGAAGCTTATTTGTTAGCACTTATACCCTGAAGCTCATGATTCAAGCTCTTTGGCTTGAGCCTAGTTCCCCTCCCCAAAAGGTCCAAAAGTATCTCAAGTTAACTTTTTTTTTTAAAAAAAAAAAAGAAAAAGAAAAAAAAGGGGAGATACCATCACATATTAAAATTTTATGTAATGCAACACGCAATGTAAACAATTGGCCTCCATTCTATGCACACATCTCGGCTTACATCATTTTACCTTCTTAAATTTTTGTATGTTTCTTTTGTTTATTTTCATGAGCTTTTGTTTTATAATTTTTATAGTATACAATTATACTGTAATAAGAGAAAATTGTAACTTAAATTATTGGATGGAAACATATTCCTTAACAGTAGGAGATATTATTTTTCTTAATAATTTTTATTTTACAGTTTAGTATAATTAGGATGATAAATTTCAAATCATTAGAAAAAAACATAACTTTTATTATTAGAAGATTTACCATATTTAATAATTTAAGTTATTCTTGTAATCTAACTGTATAATGTGTTTTTTTTTTCTTTTCTGTATTCTCCTTTTGTAAAACATTTTAGCATTCAATTTCCCTTTTTCCTAATTACAAGGTTAAAAGCCGGGCGAATTAATTATTTATGGATTATGCTGACAACATGTATAAAACATTAAATAAGTTAAACCATATTAATGGAAAATGATTGGGAGATAATTGTTTATACAATTTTTTATATAATTTTATATATTATTTAATAATTGATTGTTTTAACTCCATTGAAACTTGTAATATTATATACATTTATTAATTTAATGATATGTAAAAATTATATAATAAAATTATTTACGTATCATTACCTTATATTAATTTCTGTGTTGATAAAAACTACTTTTACAACAAATTATTAATAAATATTCTCAATAAATGATATTTCAATAAAAAACAAAAAAAAAATTATTTTATAGTATAAAATTGTATTGAAATGCAGAACAAGAAACTCATAAAAAAGAGACAATAATTGATATGCATCTAGTTTAACACATTTTACAACATATTTATTAAAAATTGTTATTTTAAATTTAAATTCAAGGCGAGAAATATTTTAAATATAAAATTTAATGACTAAAGTAAGGAGTGTTAGTAAATATGTTGTACTAAATAGCATACTAATCATTTTTCTAAAATAACCCTCAAGTTTTGGTTTCAAACAACCCAACTTCAAAATTGATCATGTTAGAGTTACCATGGTTGCACAATCCAATTAGGCACTTACCACCTAAAATATATCCCCAGGCTAAGGTTGTTTATAGTGTGGTTTAATTCTAATTTTAATAATTTTTAAATTATTTTTATTTAATCGATTAGTAAAATTTTTAAATAAATCCAATCCACTATTATATATATCTAAACTAATCAAACTTAAATTGAATTAGTATGATTGGGTCAAATTGATCAATTTTTAATACTATTAAATATATGAACTAATGTAAAAAATTTTAACATTAAGTAAAAAAATAATTATAAAACACATTAATATCAAAATTGATCAGTTTTTATATTATTTTTTTGTACAACTTTAGTATCATTTAAATTATTAACTATTTTTATTTATTTAAAATTTATAATATTAAATCATTTAATAACATATAAAAGTTATATAAAAAATAATATAAAAAATTATCTTTATATCACCATCCGACATAAAAATACGAACAAAGAGGTTTCATAATAAATTGGGTGCCAAATTTTAAATTAATTGAATGTATTTATTTATTTTATAATTGTACTTCATTTCATAACACTAAATAAATAATGGAAAACATACTCAATTTCATATAGTTAAATAAATAAATAAAAACACAATTTTTTCATTTGTATTCTTATAAATATCATATTATTTTGATATGCATAATTTATATAAATAAAATATTTAATTTAATTTAATAAAATACAAAATGTATAAAAAAATTATTGATTAATATAAATAATAATGTAAATTATGCTACTATAAATTAATCCTCACTCATATTTGTGTGTATATATAATGGAACCTTATTTATTGAATTCATTACTATCGTAAACAAATCATGTGGATAAGAGGGACTAAAGTATTGCTAAGACAAACCATCAAAAAAAAAAAAAGATTGCTAAGACAAGATTAGTCTCAAATTACACCGGTCATATTCTGATTGAGATGAGACAAAGTACTAGTAGTAAAAGAAAAGTTAAAAAAAATGAGTGAGAATGATTTTCAGTCTAAATTGTATTTTTAAAATATAATTTGGTTTTAACATTATTAAATTATTATTATCAATGAATAAATATTTAAAAATTTTATTAAAAATACGTTAATAATCTTGTTACTCAAACTATATACATTAAAAATGCAATCAAACTTCAAAAACAATTTTTATTTTTGGCTTAAAGATAGATTGACGCACATCAAATTATATATATACACATTCCTCTGGTTAGGGTCGTAAGATTGGGTGCTCTGTTCCTCCTCTCCTGCACAGAGGACAACATGTTTAGTAGCGACCCTGATCACCCCACGAAGAATATCAAAATTAGCCAAGATGACAAGTTCTTTGGCAGGCAATCGTCCCGGAGAACCTCAGTCAGTCATGCTTCTTTCGACGAATGCGGCGGACTTACCGGTGCCGTTCCCTTCAATTGGGAGTCTCAGCCAGGTACCCCTAAGAACACATTGGCCTCTGTCGCCTCCGATACCCCCCGCCCACGCCCACTCACCCCTCCTCCCTCTCGGTCCGGTGCCCCAAAGTACATAACTTTCCCTGATAATTCTCTCCGCCGTACTCTCACCTCTCCCCTCTCCCAGGCTCAACCTAACTCTCCAAAGAACACAACTTCCCCTGATGTTTCCTTCCACCGTCCTCTCCCTCCACCTCCCTCCTTTCAGTCCGGCGCCCCAAAGAACACAAATTTCCCCGATAGTTCCCACCACCCTCTCACTCCGCCTCCCCTCTCTCGGTCCGGTACCATAAATAACACAAATTTCCCCAATATTTCTATCCTCTCTCTCACTCCACCTCCATCCTCTCAGACCGGCACCCCAAAGAACACAAATTTCCCCAATATTTCAGTTCAACCTCTCACTCCGCCTCCCTCCTCTCAGTCTGATGCCCAAAATAACAAGACTGTCTCAAATGTTGCCCACAACCGCTCTCTCACTCCTCCTCCCTCTTACAATTTCGAGCGGCCGGACACCTCCACCGCAGAACCCATCAAACTGAAGCGCTCAAGATCACTTCTTCTCTACACATTGCTCACCAAAATACTCAATCTGAGGAAGAGTATAAATACGATGTCGTCGTCGAAATCTTCAGCTTCTTTATCACCATCACCATCTCATTCTTCCCTTTCCTCGAGATCATGGTCGTCTACGTCACGGTTTTTAGCAGCCAGTGCACCAAATATGGACCGTGGAAAGAGAAGTTGGCCGTCGACGCCAAGATCGTCTTTTAATGAGAAAGCAGAGGACGAAGAAGATATCAGTTTTGGGTCCTCAAATCCTTCTGTGTGTTTTTCTATTGCCTTTGGAAGGGGGGATCGTCTTAGGGTTGTTCGATGCTACGGCTGCTCAAGCTAAAATTATTCATAGTAGGTTCTGTATGGCCGAAGCCGGAGATTCTCTGTTTCAACTTTCAAGTCTTGTTTATGCTTCTGTTTTTCCTTTTTCTTTTTTCTTTTTTTTTTTTGGAGTGAATTTATGCTTCTATTTAGTTGGATGAAATGTTCTATGATCAAACGGTAGTATAGTAATAATAAATAAAGAAATGATTACTTCTCAGTTTAGTAATTTCATCGAAAAATTAT